ATTTATATACATGTGTGGGTATACAAAAGCTTTTCTACTACACTTGATAAAGACTTGAGAAGGAACAACAAAGAAACGATGGAGACATTGGAAAAAAACTAGGTGCAATATGAACACTGAATATGAAATAGTAAATGTGAAACAAACTAGATAAAAATAAAAGATTTTCATATAATCCAATTTTCAAACATGGCTGCTCATTAGAATCATACCTGGAGCTTTGGAAAAAAGAAATAATACCCAGGCATTTGCATTTTTCAAAAAATTCCAAGATAATTATAATGTGCATCTGGATTTTTAAAAATTGTTATAGGTTTTTCTATTAAATTAGTTTTAGTGATATAGAATTCTATTATTTTCTGTTGAACAATCATGATACAATGGAATTAAAACAAATAATATTTACATAATCACAATAGTAAAAGATATTTATCAGCTATATGAGAATTCCTGCTACTCCACATATTTGCCAACACTTGGTATATCCAGGCATATTAATTTTAGAACTGTTTAGTGGTGCTTTATTTTTATTTTAATCTGAATTTTACTGATGACTATGAGTCCTGGGTGTTCATTGGAAGGACTGATGCTGAAGCTGAAACTCTAATACTTTGGCCACCTCATGCAAAGAGTTGACTCATTGGAAAAGTCCCTGATGCTGGGAGGGATTGGGGGCAGGAGGAGAAGGGGATGACAGAGGATGAGATGGCTGGATGGCATCACCGACTCAGTGGACATGAGTTTGAGTAAGCTCCAGGAGTTGGTGGTGGATAGGGAGGCCTGGCGTGCTGTGATTCATGGGTTCGTAAAGAGTCGGACAAGACTGAGTGACTGAACTGAACTGAACTGAACTGAATGACGTTGGGCATTTCTATGTGCTTTTTGAACATCCATATCTCTTCTTTTTTTTTAATTGTATTTTATTCTTAACTGGAAGATAACTGCAATATTGTGATAGCTTCTGCAATACATCAACATGAATCATATCTCTTCTTTTTTAAAGTTTCCATTCACATGTTATGCTTATACCATTTTTTGATTGGTCATTTGATTTCTTGTCATTGTTTTGAGAGTTCTTTATATATTCTTTACATTCTGAATATAAGGACTTTATCAGATAACTGGAAAATATTTCTTTAGTCTGAGACTTGTCTTTTCATCCTCTTAGTATCTTCCAAAGAACAGAAGCCTTTGATTTTGAAGTTTAGTTTATCATTTTTCCCTTTATAAATCAAGCTTTTAGTGTTCTACTTAAGAAATTTTTAGCCAAATTCAAGATCGAAAATATTATTTCCATACTTTTTCTTCAAGAAATATTATAGCTTTAATTTTTACATTTAGGTTTATGATCAGTTTTGAGTTAATTTCTGTACATAGTGCCATGTATGGTTTGAAGTTTGTTTTATTTTTGGTTTGTTTTATTTTCTTTGCACATGAACTTTCAACTGTTCCAGCAATATTTGTTGAAAAGACTGTTTATTTCTGCACTGAATTACCTTTACATCTTTGTAGAAAATCTGTTTTTCCATATATGTATGGGTGTATCTTTGGTCTCTCTTATACTGATGTCTCTCTTTTTGGCTTATTTTCCTCCTTTTATATTTAATTGTTTTCTGCTTGGATCTTTATTATTTCCTTTCTTCTGCTTACTTTGTGTTTAACTTTCTCTTCCCTTTTTGTTTTCTTAGGTTGACTCTGAGGTCATTTACTTGAGAAATGTTATTTGGTTTCCAAGTATTTAGGGAGTTTCCAGAGATCTTTCTGTATTAAATTTTAATTTAATACTATTGTGGTCATAGAACATACTTTGTATGATGAATATTTTCAATTTATTAAGGTGTTTTATGACACAGGATATGGTCTATCTTGGTAAATATTCTGTGTAAACTTGGAAATAATGTGCATTTGCTGTTGTTGATCGAATGTCCTATGAATACTGATTATAGGAAATTGGTTGATAGTATTATTCAAGTCTTCTTTATCCTTACAGAAAGTCTGTGTACTCGCTTTATAAATTATTGAGGAAGAGTTACTGAATTATCCATCTTTCGTTGTGAATTGGACTTGTCCTTGCAGTTGCATCCATTTTGGTGCACACATTTTGGAACTCTGTTGTGATGTACATAAACATTAAGGATTGCTAGGTCTTCTTGATTAATTGATCCTCTATCATTATGGAATATACTCCTTTATTCTGGTTATATGCTTTGCTCCTTAGTTTTCTTTGTCTGACACTGATAACACAGTCCGCTCCAACTTATCTTTGACTCAGAGTTAGCAGGTATGTCTTTTTCCATCCTTTACTGTAGGCTTATTTGTGTCTTGATTTTAAAAATGTGTTCCTTGTGGTTGGCATACAATTGGGTCTTGGTGGTGTGCTCAGTCTGACAATCTTTGACTTTTAATTGGGGCATTTAGACTATTTACATTTACCGTGATTATTAGATCCCCTAGAGAAGGAAATGGCAAACCACTCCAGGATTCTTGCCTGGAAAACACCGTGAACAGAGGAGCCTGGCAGGATACAGTCCATGGGGTCACAAGAGCTGGAAATGACTTAACGACTAAACCACCCAATTTAAATAGATAATCTTTGCTGTTTTTTCTACTCTTGTTTCTATTTTCCTCATGTTCTCCCTTTACATGGATTAACTGAATACTATTTATGATTCCATTTTATCTCTTTTGTAAGTATATTAGCTCTCTTTTTTATTTCAGTGATAGGTTTAGGGTTTAGAGTATATACCTTTAACTTATCACCATCTACCCTCAAATGACATTACATCACCTCACATATAGTAAAAAACTTACTTCCATTCCTCCCTTGCTGGCCTTCAAGCTATTATTATTATTTTCTAGCAAGAGATGCAAGAGATGTGGGTTGGGAAGTTCCCCTGGTGTAGGAAATAGCAATCCTCTCCAGTACTGTTGCCAAGAAAATTCCAAGGACACAGGAGCCTGGCAGGCTGCAGTCCACGGGGTCACAAAGAGTCAGACATGACTGGGGCAACTGAGCATGCACAATAATAATACACATATGTTACACACTTATGCATGTGTTATAAACCCCATGCTGTTCATACATTGGGCTTGCCCTCAGTAAATAGTCAAGGGTCTGCTGCCTGAAAACAGTTAATAGTATAAAAGCTATTACTTACAGCAAAATTTCCAACTTTGAGGGATGGTACCAAGAATACTGGTACCTCTCATATAGTAAAAAAAAAAAAACTTGCATTAGTATACTTCAGCAATTGAGCAACTTTCACTTTCACTTCACTTCACCGAGAATATTAATCTGCACAAAAACCCTAAAATATAGGTAGCATAATTTCCCCTATTTAGTAAATGAGGAAACTAGTCTAAGATCGCAGACCCAAAAAGTGACAGAAAAAAGGCTGAAACCTAGGAACTGTGACTCCAGAGAACACAAATGATGAAGAATTATTGAAAATTAAACTTCCCTTTATAAGCATGGTATCCTTCATAGTCTGTATATGAGATTGTTTACCATTTGTACGTAATGCAGAAAGTTGGACTTCCCAGGTGGCTGAGTGGTAAAGAATCCGCCTGCTGATGCAGGAGACATGAGTTTGATCCCTGGGTCAGTAAAACCTCCTAGAGGAGGAACTGGCAACCCACTCCAGTATTCTTACCTGGAATATCCCATGGACAGAGGAGCCTGGCAGGCTACAGTCCCCAGGGTCACAAAAGAGTCAGACACAACTTAGCAACTAAACAACAACATTATGTCCATCAATATATATGTCAGAGTAACTGTATTGTGAGTTTTAATTGAAACAGTGGGCTCCATTCCTAGTTTATTGTTTGCTTAGCTATTCATTCAGTGTGATGATCCGCTTGCAGTGTGATGATCTGCTTTCAAACTAAAAACATCAAGGGTAATTTGGTGCCAGTCATATTATCTCATATTATTTTTTAAAAAGATCTAAAACATAGGTAGGCCTGCTGAGGGTAGTAATAACTACTCTATCTAATCTATGTGACAGATGATGTGGATTAACCGTGATACAAGTTTAGATGCTTTGAATAGTAATTACAGTCTGATTATTAGAATGTTATTGAGGTCATGACAAGAAGAAACACTGGTAAAATATACATGACATTAAATTTACCATTCTAACCATTAAAGAAAAATTTACTGACATATACTTGACTTACAATATTATATAGTTTCAGTTGTACAACATAGTGATTCAATATTTTTATAGATTACACTACATATAAATTTATTCTAAAATTTTAGCTATATTTGCTGTGCTACATTTTTCTGTATGTATATAGTACTTGTTAAAAAGTTAAAAACATATATTATCTTGAATCTGTACCTTCATTTTAGAGATGAAAAATAAAATAATTAGTTACTTTTAGTTACTGATAGCCAGGCAGTTGTTAGGTGGCTCAGATTAGTCTTTCGTTTCCTTTTCAGCTCTAAGATACTGTATCAGTGTTTTTTTTAAGTATTTTTTAATTTATTTTTGGCTGAACTGGGCTTTCTCTCCTGTGTGAGCAGCTGCAGTGAGTAGGGGCTGTGTCTTGTTGCAGTGCATGGGCTCTCATCGCAGTGGCCTATCTTCTTGCTGACCATAGGCTCTAGGGTGCGAGGGTTCAGCAGTTGTGACTCACGGACCCTAGAGCACAGGCTCAAAAGTTGTGGAGCACAGGCTCAGTCACTCTGCAGCATGTGGGATCTTCCCAGACCAGGGATCGAACCCATGCCTCCTGCATTGGCAGATGGATTCTTTAACACTGAGCTACCAGGGAAGCCCTACTATGGTTTTATAAATTCAACAATTTGGAATCTAACTTCCTGCTTTTTCATTTTAATTTCTATTGGCCTTTCAAATCAGTTAAAGTTTTCAAATTTCTATATCCAAAGGTAAGATTCTTTTGTGCTTAAATAATAGTATAAGACATTTTCCTGAATGCTCCGAGTTTATTATTCCTACTAACATTCATTTTCTATGCTTATTGCTTTATAGGCAAGCAAAGGTCGGACTACAATTGTAGTAGCTCACCGGCTTTCCACTATTCGAAGTGCAGATATGATTGTGACCATAAAAGATGGGATGGTGGTGGAAAAAGGGACACATGCTGAATTAATGGCAAAACAGGGTCTATATTATTCACTTGCAATGTCACAGGTAATGTTCACATGACATATGTTATGTTTGCGTATTTTAACTTTTCAGAGATCATGCCATGCTAGAAAACAGAAGTTCTGAATTATTATCTCATGTTTCATGAGGCAATCAAGGATATTCATAGTTCCTTAGTTAAGAAATTCAGTGTGTCTAATATCCTCAGCATTGTTATAGATAATGATGGAAGTTAAAGAACTAATTACTGTATATATATATATATATGCTGCTAAGTTGCTTCAGTCGTGTCCGACTCTGTGTGACCCCATGGACTGTAGCCCACCAGGCTCCGCCATCCCTGGGATTTTCCAGGCAAGAGTACTGGAGTGGGTTGCCATTGCCTTCTCCAGTATATATATATACACACACGCGCACACACACAGACACACACACACACACACACACATATAGTATTTTTACCTAATATTTGCCATGCAGATAACAAATAGGCTTCAAAGTTTGTATGTGGCAGATCCAGAAAAATCTAACTCTGTATGCTGTGATCTTTTTGTTAAAACACAACGAACTATAACACACAATTGCTACTTAAAGGCTTAAAACTCAGCTATAGAGGTAAAATGCAGAATCATGCATACAGATGCTACAAGCTGTAGAAATAAGAAGAAGATTAATGGAGACATGAACCCCATGAAAGTATTCGTGAAGAAATCTTGAAGGCAAGCGGGGGGTAAGGAGGAGAAATCTAGGTGATACGGAAGTAAGAAGGAACTTGGTTTGCAGATCAACAGAAAGGAGACCAGTCTTCCTTAAGTGATAATAAGTGTTGGGGGAATAAAGGAAAATTTGGATAATGAAGATCAGATCATGTAAAGATTAAGACTTCCTGTGTAGGAAGCACCTAACTCAGTGCCTAGCACATAATGGGCACTCAAAAAATATCTGCTAAATGAAAGGATGTATAATACATATCCATACTGCATAGATACCACATTATCACAGGTACACCAGAAAGCTCATGTTAGGTAATCAGGAGGATACATGACAATACTGGGGCATGCTGGCACATCCCAAATTTGGGATCCAAATTTCTGCATGTCGTGTGATCTACCTTACTGAATTTCACAGTTTTTTATTAGGGCACATTAACATAAGTGGTAGTGATTAGGCTCTAGCTATCTTCTTCATTCTGCCTTCTTCTCTTGGTCAAGAAGGCAGCCCTCTTTCCAAGGGGTCTTCTGCAGGCAACTAATATTAACCTTTTTTTTTGGTTTATTTTACTACTTTAACTTTCTGACTATATTTTTATATCAACATTATTATTTCACAAATTAGGAAATTTAGAAAGCTGTGAGCCTATATCTCACAAAACTTAAAATTTCAAACCCCAGCTTTGTCCCTATGCTAGAATGAAGGATTTTTAAACACAACCTATAAAGCAAAGATCGTTTTAAAAAAAGAGAGAGAGAAAATAAAAAGTTTGAAAATGTCATCTCACATTGATTAATTTTAAAATTTCTTTATTTCAATTTTATTTCATGTTAGGCCATATTCCTCTTTAAAGATAAATTTTATGTGTTATTTGCCAGTTGAATTCGCCTGATTTTCATTCCATAGTAAATTTAACAATTTATAAATTTCAATATTTTCAAGCTAACAATTATAAAAATAAAAGGAAATAATTGTAGTCAAACTAACCCTATTTTAAGATTCTTAAAAACTACTACACTGAGATCTTTCTTTGAAGCAACACTTTTTTCATTATAGCCAAACTAAAACTCCATTTTTAGGTATGAGGTTAAAGAGTTCCTCAATGTAAGGAAAACAAAAATGGAGTCTTTATGGTATAACTGTGTAAAAAATTTATTCAAAATCTTATTCAGGATGGATTAGTACTCTGATTATCTAAAATAATGTTCATTCTGCTATAATAATATAATTTTAAATATTAATACTCAATGAACAGCTCTAAATTCTGGGAACTGTATATAGTAAGCATAACATACATGATATCTGCATAAACAGTAACACAGTTCTGAAACTCTGATGGATTTATTTGCTACGATTGCCTGTAGTGTCCAAATGAATCAGTTTATGATAATTCATGGTTTTCATAAGTATTACGGTTAATGCTGCTAAAGCAGCACAGCGAAATGGTTGCAGTCATGAGCTCTGTAGACACATCAAGTGGAAATCCTTACTCTGCCACACAATAGATTTAGGACAGGGAGAAAGTTGTTTAAATTCTCTGTTCCTCAGCTTTCTAATATCTAAAATGAGGAAAATAATAGTAACATTAAATGAGTTCATTCATGTAGAGTACTTAGAACTATTATTGGCATAATAAAATTTTTTTTTAGCTGTTCTTTCATTTTTATTTTTTTTTCCATTTATTTTTATTAGTTGGAGGCTAATTACTTTACATCATTGCAGTGGTTCTTGTCATACATTGAAATGAATTAGCCATGGATTTACATGTATTCCCCATCCCGGTCCCCCCTCCCACCTCCCTCTCCATAGGTAGAACTACATACATACCCAAACTCTTTGCCGTTGTTATTTTGTCTAGCAAACTTCTCAGCAAATATAATTGTTCTTGCTCTGTAAGCACCTCTTTAGAAAATTTTATTATGAGAAGTCAAAATTTTATTTTAAGCTTGCCACAAAGTAAATAGCTCCTGGAAAAAAATGCCAAATAAAAATTTTCTTTCTTAGTAGGGAAATTTATTGAAAAAGGAAAGTGATAGCATAAAGGAATGTCTGATTCAAGATATTAAGATAGCATAAGGCTGGTTAAAGTTTATGTACCTTGAAATGACTGATTACTAGTTGTTAATCTGGTTAAAGAATCACAGTGTCCCTAGGAAGCCTTATGTGTACATACTCTCCTTTGCATCTGAAGTTACCTAAGTCTTACCATCTGTACTCCCCACCCTGGTTGGGCCTTCACATCCTAACCAAGCTCTTCATTTCTGTCTTCACTGCTCTTTCCATGTCTTCATAAAGAAGTCACTAAAACTGGCCTTACTTCCTTGGAGTAGCAAGAAAAACAAAAACTAGACTTAAAGAAATCTGGTTTAGAACTTTATCCTAGTCTATGATTTAAACAATTTCTTTACGGTTAATTTGATGTCTTTGGAATTTCTCATTCTTTTGGAGCTGGCCCTACCAAATTTGCTTTTTAGTTTCTTTGAAATGGACAGCAGTGGCCAGCCTGCAAAGTGTTATTGTCTCCTGAGATCTATCTCATACCTAGGGCCAGCTTCACATTTGAGTGCCTAACTATATGTTATAAATTTGTAAGCTCCAGAAAAGGCTGGGAAGAAGGAATCAGAGAGAGAGAAAGAGAAAGTATATTTGAGTCATCACCCTCACAAAGCTCATTTTACTAAGATCTGTTCTTGCTAGTGGAATAATTGTTTTTAATTAAGGCATTATTTTCTGTGGTTAATTATACAGGTCTTTGGGGGGGAAAGACACAATAAGCTATTGTCACTCACTAACATTTTAGTATGAGTTGGACTTACTGGTTCTGTATTGAGTCTAAAAACTTCAGCAAGAACTGCTCAGAAATACACCACTTTCAGTAACAAAGGCAGTACAATTTTAGAGGCATGTTTAATAGAGTTGCGTTGAATTTTTAAGGCATTATTCTAGTGGTAACATGGGTCTTCTTCATTTAAGGATATTAAAAAAGCTGATGAACAGAGAGAATCGGTGACTTATTCTGCTGAAAAAGATACCAGCTCAACTCCTCTGTGCTCTGTGAATAGCATGAGGTCAGATTTTACTGACAAGTTTGAGGAATCCACCCAATATAAAGAGGTAATGAGTCAACTATCAACAAGTTACCAACATGTTCTCCAATGAATTTTGATACAATCCTTCTAATATATTTAGAACGTATTTATTATAAAATGTTATTATAGCACTTAGGTTACCAAACCTAAGTCTTTGCCGAACTTCACACTAACATCACTGTGACGTTAAGAAAGAAGCCTTCAAATAAGACTGCACTGATGTCAGAGGTCATTACTGGGGCAAGATATCTTATGAGAATCCTTTCCTGTATGGCAAACCATGGGTTAAAACAGTGGCTCGGGTGGTGTGGTACCAACAGTGATGCTCAAAATCCATCTAAGTCGGATTAAGACCCAAATCCACTCCACTCACTGGATGCAGATAAGCACTAGCACACAGGATCCAGTCTTTCAACCCCAGGGTACAATCCTAATAGCTTTGCTCAGCTGGGCAAGGAGTATTTGTTCCCATGCTTGCTTCCCTACACCTACCCCCAGGCTCTTCCTGAGTCCCGATCAGTCTCCTCTAAGCCTCCTTAAGTGTCAAAACTCTCTGTACTACCTCTTCAGTCTTCATTCTTACCTCAAGTCTAATGTCTCTTTCCCATTCAGCCTCCCTTTTCTTAAAATCCCCAGCACCTTCTTTGGAGCTCAACTTCCACTCTAACTCTTTTCCTCAGCATTCTTGCATAAAACATAATTCTATCTCACTTCAGCCTGTGATTCTTCGAGCCTCCTCATTCCCTAAGTCCAGCTCTCTCCTCAACCCCCAGCAACCTCACTCAGTCCTTTGACTGCTTCTCAATTGTAAACTCATACACCATGAACTCTCTCACCTCAGCCCCTGAATATTAGCTTCTGTTTTCCTAAACTCCAGCTCCCATATCATCCACTCTTATCTTTGGCTCACTATTTCTCACAGACTGGAGTTCCCTTCTTCTCCTTGGGTTGACAAATACTTGAGGTTGAATACCCCTTCGCCATTCCCACCATCTTCCTGCCCACTGTTCTCAGTCTCATCTATTATCTGTCTGAAGCCCTGGGATGACCTGCCTCAAACCTCCTCCTCTGCCTTTCTCTGACACTGCCAGTCTGTCGCTTTTAATTCTAGATGCAGTTTTTTCCCCTTTTAGGTATGTGATCCTCCTACATAGCATTCACATTTATATGTTTGCTTATCTATTAATTTTCTTTAAAAAATGCATTTATGTAAACATTAAAAGATCATTATGTAAATAATAGCATAGGTAATTTGCTCTATGGCAAAAGGCCTGAGTAGAAGAAGGCAGTACAAGAGTTTATAAGAGTTTGTGAAATGCTGTGCAAGAGTGTAAAAAACACTATGTTGAAATATCTGCTAATAGCTGCTGGACCTCTCACTGTAATTGTTAAAAACAGAATGAAAGTCCACCTTGAAGTCTGAAAATTCACTAGGTATATAAAGAGGAATTTTAAAATCTGATAAAGGTGAAAATCATAAAACTAAAAAACAACTCAGACTTATAGAGAAAATGATAGGGTAAATTTACACTCTGATACAACTGCTCTGCTCCATACACATAGTAATGATAGATAAAACATAAAAAGGGAAAAAACAATAAGACATAGCCAAGCTCCAAAACAAGATAAATATCTCTATCTACTAGAAACAGAGCAGAAGTACCAAGTGGTTAGCTGGGCTTCCGTTGAGCACCTACTCTTGTGTTCTTATTTTTTATTGGAGTTTAGTTGCTTTACAGTGTTATGTTAGTTTCTGCTCTACTACAAAGTGAATCAGTTATGCACATACACACAGCCACTCTTTTTTGGATTTCCTTCCCATTTAGATCATCACAGAGCACTGGTAGCGTTCCCTGTACTGTAAGGTAGGTTCTCGTTAATTATCTATTTTATATGTAGTAGTAAAAGAAGGCTACAGACTTGGTTACCAGTGCCTGGTGCTGTAGTGAGTAGGAAACTGAGATCCTGGAAGGAAGGATACAGTCCTACCAAGTGAAGCAAGCCAAACCTCAGCTCCATGGCCACATTTGTAAATCATTTTTTTCAGACTACAGTAACGCAATGAGAAGTGAACAGAGATTATAAAAGTAAATAATGAAATGGAAAATGTGAAGTAGGATTTTAGAACAGAATTAATAGGAGGTTGGGTTGAGTCAGAAGACAGAAACCACACAATTTGAACAGAGACAGTTTAGTGTAACGAATCATTAGGGAATTAAAGTAATGGGAATTGGCTAGCTAAAATTAAGAGAACACGAAAGAATGCTGACATAGCAGAGAAAAAGTGCCAACCACTATACTTGGGGTGAAACAGAGACCCAGGGAAGAGCCCTCTTTATTCCCTGCAACTAATTGACTCAGTGGCTAACAAAGAAGATGCCAAGGTACCTTGCTGGTGAAGTTTACTTGAAATCTGTCCTTTAGGATGCCAGGGGAGGGTCTGAGTTTCAGAATAAAAAGATTCAACATTGTTTGGAAGTCATTTCTTTCCAAATTGCGTCCATAGTTCAAAGCAATCCCAGTCAATATCTTAGCAGATTTTTTGTAGAATTTGGCAAATGGATTCTAAATGGAAATTCAAAAGGATAAAATGAGAACAACTTTCATAAAGAAGAACAAAGTTGTAGGGTTTATAATTACTAATTCCAATTTTTAGTATAAAGCTATAGTAATCAAAATAATGTGCTATTGGAACAAAAATAGAGAAATAGATCAATAGAACAGAATAGAGAGAATCAAGAATTAGACCCACACACATATAGTCAGCTCTTTAGACAAAAGTGCAAAGGCAATTCAATACAGAATATATAGTCTTTTTGAATTGTATTGACTGATTGATTTTGGTTGCACTGAGTCTTCGTTGCTGGGCAGAGACTTTTCTCCAGTTACCCCAAGTGGGAGCTACTCTCTAGTTGCTGAGCATGGGCTTCCCTTTGCGGAAGCCTCTCCTGTGGCTGAGCACAGGCTCTCGAGTGTGCAGGCTTCGATAGTTGTAGCACCCTGGCTCAGTAGTTGAGACTCTTGGGCTCTAGAGTACAGGCTAGTTATGGCGCGTGGGGCCAGTTGCTCCGTGGCATGTGGGATCTTCCCTAACCAGGGATCAAACCTGTGTCTCCTGCATTTGCAGGCAGATTCTTCACCACTGATCCGCCAGGGAAGCCTCAAAAATATATAGTCTTTTTAAGAAAAGATGTTGAAAGAAATACCTATCTATCCAAAAGAATCATCTTCAATCCATACTTCAAAGAACAGATGAAAATTAACTATAAATGGAATTCAGACATTACCAAAGAGCTAAAAATAGAAATTTTTCATAAGAAGATAGAGTAGAAAATCTTTATGACTTTGAGTTAAGCAAAGATGTCTTAGCTACAACACCAAAATCACAATTTGTAAAAGAGAAAGATAGATAGTTAGACTTCAAAATGAATAAAATTTCTATTTGTAAAACTTTTTTTTTTTTTTTTTGGCTGCATCACAAGGCTTGCAGCATCTTAATTCCCTGACCAGGGACCAAAACCAGGCCCCGGCAGTGAAAGCACAGTGTCCTAGCCACTGGACTGCCAGGAAATTTCCAGTAAAACTTTGTAAGAAATGAAAAGATAGACTATAAACTGTAAGAAAATATTTGTAAGTCACATATGTGATAAAAGATTTGTACCAAAATATACAGAGAACTCCCAAAGCACAGTAATAAGAATACCAACAACCTAACAGGAAAATGGGCAAAATATTTTAATAGACATTTTGCCAAAGAAGATATGCACATGGGAAATGAGCATATGAAAATATGCCTAACATCATTAGGCATTGTTGTTTAATCGCTCAGTCGTATCTGACTCTTTGCAACCCCATAGGCTGCAGTATGCCAGGCTTCCCTTCCTTCATTAGGCACTAGAGAAGAGCAAATTAATTATAATTGAGATGTCATGATACACCTTTTAGAAGAGTTAAATCTAAAAAGATTGTACCAAGTATTGGTGGTGATGTGGAGCATCTGGAACCCTACATTTTGCTAGTGGGAATAAAAAGTAGTAATCCCAGTTTGGAAAAATAATTCAACAGTTTCGTTAAAAGTTAAACATGCACCTACTATGATGCAGCCATTCTTTTTCTTGGTTTTGTTGCTGTTGTTGTTAGTTGCTAAGTCGCGTCCAATTCTTTTTCGACCCCATGGACTGTAGTGTTCCAGGCTCCTCTGTCCATGGGATTTCCCAGACAAGAATACAGGACTAAAGGTTTGCCATTTCCTTCTCCAGAGGATCTTCCCAATCCAGGGATCAAACCTGCATCTCCTGCATTGGTAGGAGAGTTCTTCACTACTTAACCACCAGGGAAGTCCTTCTAGGTGTTCACTCAAGAGAAATGAAATCGTATCTCCACACAAAGTCTTGTATGTGAATGTTCATAGCAGCTTTATTTGTGATAGCCCATAACTTGGAATAACCCAGATTTATGTCAAGAGGTAAATTGTGGTCTATCCAAACAATGAAACACTTCTCAGCAATGAAAATGAATGAAATATTAATTCATGGAATAGCATGAATAAATCTCAAAGCAGTTATTTTGAACAAAAAGAAGCCACGTGAAAAGAGTACATACTATGTGATTTAATTTATATATATTAAAAAAACCTCTAGAAATTGCAAAGCAGTCTATAGTGACAAAAATATATCAGTGGTTGTAGGAGAAGAGCATGGGCAGCTGAGAAGTGTGGAAGAAAGGGATTAGAAAAGCAGGAGGAAACGTACCAGGACAAGGAGTACGTTCATTGTGTTGACTGTGGTGATAGTTTCATGGGTGTGTACTGAAGTCTAATCTTATGAAAATGTACACTTTATATGTGTGTAGCTTATATGAAAATTATAACTCAATAAATCTTTAAAATATATCAGATTAAATTTTAAAATTTTAAGAGATTTTTTTTAACTTTTAAAAATCCTTTCATATCTCTTTATGAAATGACTCTAATTTCTTATATTTTTATATCAAGTTCTCTTAAAACACGCTATTAATATAACCTATAACACAGTTAGGTAGTCCAGACTCTCATGATTTTACTAAAACTTTTCATTTTGTTTTTACTTCAATTTATTCTTTTCCCTCTTTATAACATTATTTAACTAATACCATTTTTTCAATCTTTTTCATATTTTTAGAGGTAAAAAGGTATTTACAGAAGCTGATAGACCTCCTACATTAGCTGGCTCTGTAATGTACTGATATTGTGTCCTGGGACATGCTTGTAGTTTCATTACAATATGAGATAATTTTGTAAAGAGTTTGACAAAAAATAAAATTCATGTTTAGCACTTCACAAAGAGTTGGAACGGAACTTTTAAAATTTCTCTGTATTCTGTTGGATAGTGACCTAACTGAAAAGTGAAGCTTTTTATGATGATAATCCTCAGAAAACTTCAGAAGAGAAGATAATAGATAATCAAATTATTAAGTGAAAGTGTTAGTTGCTCAGTCGTGTCTGACTTTTTGCAACTTCATGGACTGTAGCCCACCAGGTCCTCTGTCCATTGGGATTCTCCAGGCAAGAATACTGGAGTGGGTTGCCATTTCCTTCTTCAGGGGATCTTTGCGACCCAGAGATTAAAACTTCAGAAGAGAAGATAATAGATAATCAAATTATTAAGTGAAAGTGTTAGTTGCTCAGTCGTGTCTGACTTTTTGCAACTTCATGGACTGTGGCCCACCAGGTCCTCTGTCCATTGGGATTCTCCAGGCAAGAATACTGGAGTGGGTTGCCATTTCCTTCTTCAGGGGATCTTTGCGACCCAGAGATCAAACCCAGATCTCCCACATTGCAGGCAGATTCTGTACCATCTGAGCCACTAGGGAATCCCCCAATATAAATTTGGTTTAGCCATCCTGAAAATAGATTTTAAAGGATTTAGAATTTTAAAAGTTCTTTTGTTCAAACAATAGAGCTTGTATTATAATTTCCAGGCTAAGATTAAAATAAGAATTATATACTATTTTATATCTTACCTGAAATCTTTATCTGATTATCAGGTTCATAAATTTCATTACTTCAACAGTGAATGCCATGAGGAAGTTTCAACATATAAAATGCCTAGTAGTTTGCTACCTACATTCCTATTCAAAAGAACTACTCACCACAGAATTTATTCACAAGGTTTTTGAAGTTTCTTAAATAAATCCCCTAGGTATTCCAGACAAGAGAAAGGAGAGATCATTATTATGTTATTTATCCTCTGATCATCATGACTACTACCTCCGCCATGGTACCCTCCATGGATCAGGAAGGACTAGCAGATACCAGTGTTACTTGCAATATTCATTCTCTGTTTAAGATCCAAGATTTTTCATAACACTATCCTTCCTTTCACAATAACATCAATAATAACTAACATTTATTTAGTATTTATTGTTGTTATTCAGTCGTTAAGTCATGTCCGACTCTTTGACCCCGTAGACGTCAGTGCACTAGGCTCCGTGTCCTCTCCCAAAGTGTTCTCAGATTCATGACCATTGAGCCCGTGATGCTATCTAACCATCTCATCCTCTGCTGCCCTCTTCTGCTTTTGCCTTCAATCTTTCCCAGCATCAGGGTCTTTTCTAACTAGTCAGTTCTTCGCATCAGGTGGCCAAAGTATTGGAGTTTCAGCTTCTGTAGCAGTCCTTCCAATGAATATTCAGGATTGATTTCCTTTAAAATTGACTGGTTGGATCTCCTTGCAGTCCAAGGGACTCTCAAGAGTCTTCTCCAACATCACAATTCAAAAGCATCAATTCTGCAGCACTTAGCCTTCTTTATGGCCCAGCTCTCACATCCATACATGACAACTGGAAAAACCATAGCTTTGACTATACGGACCTTTGTCAGCAAAGTGATATCTTTGCTTTTTAATATGCTGTCTAGGTTTGTCATAGGTTTTCTTCTGAGGAGCAAGTGTGTTTTAATTTCATGGCTGCAGTCCCCATCCACAGTGATTTTAGAAGCCAAGAAAGTAAAATCTGTCACTGCTTCCATTTTTTCCCCATCTATTTGCCGTGAAGTGATGGAACTCGATTAGTTTTTTGAATGTTGAATTTAAGCCAGCTTTTTCACTCTCCTCTTTCACCCTCATCAAGAGACTCTTTAGTTCCTCTTCATTTTCTGCCATTAGAGTGGTATCATCTGCATATCCGAGGTTGCTGATATTGGGTATTTATTGTGTGCAAATACTGAGTTAAGCTTAATTCTGAAAACAATCCTCTACTCAGCATAAAAATGAATGAAATAATGCCATTTGCAGCAACACAGATGGACCTAGAGATTATCATACTAAGTGAGGTAAATCAGAGAAAAATATCATATGATATCATTTATATGTGGAACCTTAAAAAAATGATACAAATGAACTTATTTGCAAAACAGAAACAGACTCACAGACTTAGAAAATAAATTTATGGTTACCAAAGGGGAAATATATGGGGGAGGGGTAAATTAGGAGTCTGGCATTGACATATACTCACTATTATACATAATAATAATCAACAAGGCCCTACTGTATAGCACAGGAAACTCTACTCACTATTCTGTAGTAAAAGAATCTGAAAAAGAATGGATATACATATAACTGAATCACTTTGGTGTATGTCTGAAACTAACACAGCATTGTGAATCAACTATCCTTCAATATAAAATAAAAACTAAAAAAAAAACAAAAAAAAACCAGTCCTGTAAGATAGGAACTGTTATCTTCCTTGAAAAGTAAAGGAAAGTGAACCATGTTGATCGTAAGTAACATACTCAGATATTGCAGCAATTAACTTATAATTGGGAACCCCAAAACAAGCTTTGAACCAAGGCATTAGAAAAATGTTTCCATAAATAGTCATGAAACTAGAAAACTTTCAAGCTTAAAATGCTAGAAACACTTTTACCTTCTGTCTATGCTGAGTTCCTATCTAGATTTTGTCCTATGCTAGGGCATGTTATTCAATCCAGTTTAACAGGTATAAAGGAAAATATGCCTGTCATTTCTTCTAAAGTCTTAGCTATCAGCACATGTGTGTTAATTTATACTTTTTTAATGATAGTGACTGAGTGAAATGCCAAAAGGTGATAAGTTGCACAGTCACTTTTGTATAAAATTTATTTTATGTTTTGATATTGTTATCAGTAATATAGGCAGTAAATTTTTTCTAAAAGAAATTCTGCTTTCTTCTCTATTACCTATTATATTTGATATTTTATATTATAGATCTATTTAAGATGGGCTAACTTCTTTAGATTCCATTATTCTCTCAAACTGGGGTTATAACCAAGGTATTTCATTTTATCTATAGACAAATCTTCCTGAAGTTTCTCTATTAAAAATTTTTAAATTATATAAGTCTGAATGGCCTTCTGTGGTTCTGGGGACACTGGCTTCTGTTCTAAATGGAGCTGTTCATCCAGTATTTTCCATCATCTTTGCAAAAATTGTAACTGTAAGTAAAACTAATTTGCTAATATTTTTAACCATTTTAAACAAAGTGTGAACTGAGAGAACAGACCTGGGGTACTTTAACTCAACATGGGGAAAATTGAGACGTGCAATGGGTTACCCCTAGTGTGGAATCCATGATAGAACGGTTAGCTAATGTTCTCAGGAGATAAGCCAGCCTCTATTGTGAAGTGTTGAGCTGTACCTTGTTAACTGGGCAATCAGTAAAGAAATTGCTTTGTTTTCCAATTCTAACTCCAGTGCTGTATCAGCATTCCAAAACACTGAAGTAATAGAAGAGACAAATACGTCTACTCTTTCTTTCAACTGGTCTGAACAATGACCATTTTTTATTACCAGTCGAAAAGAGGAAATAAGGAGTTTTGGACTGTGCTGGGGACCCAGGAGAGCTGATGAATCAAGGATTTTATTAGAGCCATGTTAAGTCTTCAGTTTTAAAAACAGCAACAGTCCAAGACTGTTGATGCTGTGTCAACATAGATGCCAATGTATGTATAGTCACTAATTTTAGGAATAATTTCTAGAGACTTGTTAAGGTCTCATATTACAGGTGGTACTCTGAATAGAGGAATATTAAGAAATCTGAGTTATTAGAAATAATATTTCAATTAGAAAACTAATTTCAATAGTTTCTTTGAAAATATACAGTGATATTAATAGCAGATAGAGGACTCATTTCTCTGATCCCTTATTGATATATCTTAAGTGAGAGGATTTATGATGAGTTATTTTTTATTAAAGTAGTGAGTTATTTTTTATTTTACATAATGAATGTAGAGGATAGAATAAGGTGCATTTTTTCCCCAGAAATATGTGGAAATTATTACTTTGAAATTCGTTTTTCAAAGTAATCCTGATGAATAGATATTTTAGTTCTTTTTTTTTATATATTCTTCTCCAATCACCTGATTTAAAAAATCTACTCCTTTTCAGATGTTTGAAAATGATGATAAAACCACATTAAAACATGACGCAGAAATTTATTCCATGATATTTGTAATTTTGGGTGTTATTTGCTTTGTCAGTTATTTTATTCAGGTAAGCTTTTAATGAATTAACTGTGTACGTGATTACTGTTTTGTGTCATCTTATTTGAGTTAAAAATAGTAACTAGATATAACTAAATAAAATACAAATAAGTAAATATAGTAACTAAATATTCCAAAGAAATGGAAAAGATAGTTAAGAATAAATGTAAATTTTTTTTGTTTCTTTTCCAGGGATTATTTTATGGCAGAGCAGGGGAAATCTTAACCATGAGATTAAGACACTTGGCATTTAAAGCCATGTTATATCAGGTTAGTGTTTAGTTGCTTTTATCCTATTTTATTTAAAATGTGTTTTTAAATATTCTAGGTTTTAGTTTTTTCTTCATAAACATTTTCCTGACATAATCTTTCCTTTGATCATTTAAAAGCATCCTTTTTGTGTCCCAAGCAGCATCTGACATCAGAATTCTTGTGGTGTACTTTCCTAACAGAATCAAGTCGAAAATTGTTATGTTCAAAAATGCAACTTACAGAAAACAAGATTTAGAGTTCACTCCTTGTTCCTTGCATTTATTTTGGCAAATCTCTTTCACTGTATAATGTTTTAGAATCAGAATGGAAGGCTGACTTAAAACTGAAAAGGAGTGTTAAGAACTACAGTATCTCGAAGAACATGTTTAAAAAGGAGGAGTTAATTTCTATAGTGCTCATTCACTGCTAACTTCTTAAAGCAGTCATTCTTTCTGCCCTCATCAGAAGACTCCTGAATTCAGATAATATCTGTCTAGCTTGCCACACACAATCGTTCATACCTATGAAATAACTAAAAATATGTGAATCAAATAATAACCTTGAAAAGTGAATCATGAGGGCAAATGGCAGGAATGTCTCAGATTGGCACCTCTAAAATTCTTTCAGGAGGCTGAGGTGTATTGGGTAACCCTGAAAGCCAGTAGTCATTTGAAGTCCTTTGCCACACTTTCTGTCACCAGAGCTCACCATGCAGGAGCAAATAGCTTCCTGCCAGGGTCATTTCTTTTCAAAAGTAGAGTTACTATCCCTCCAGCTGAGTCATCAAAACCAGTTTTTACATCTTGTGACTTTTAGCAGTAGTGCTCAAAGGACTGCTGAGTAGCAAAACTCCTCCACCTTTGTGTGCTGTTAGAGGATTAAAAAAAAAAAAAAACTGAGTTTCCCATAGCAACCTGATGCTTGGAAGCAGTTGGTACCTAACATCCTCTCTCAAAATGTCCTGTTGACAATTGGAAGCACTCAATCCAGAAAAACAAAAATCTACTTGATGGATCATAAAATGATTTAAAGACTGCACATCTTGTCTAATTCCCATTAAGCTTGTACTTTTTTTTTCTATGAACAGTTTATGTTTTTACCTCAGATCTTTGATGAAATTAGGTGTGATTTTAATTGGCTAATACTATATTTCACATTTGTTGAAAATTTCAGCTCATTTTTGTTTTTCTTTGTGTATTTATGTTTTTCCACATTAAAGGACATTTATTTTCAATTTCCAGGAACTTTTGAAAATGTTCCCTGAATTTCTGAATATCTTAAATAGAAGAATATAAATTTTAACTTTTCCAATTATTACTTTGAACTTCTTTCTAGAGGTTTACAGGATGCTTTTGGTGGAGTATCCTAAAGGCCACAAGCCAGTTTAACCAGTGGATATTGTTAATCCAACATCCTGATGACTGATATTGGACATTAATCCTCTGCCTAGCATTAGCTATGTGACCACGAGGAGAGTAACATTTTTGGATTAAGTAGTGTCTGCCCCTCTCCCCCACAAAAAGTAGTGTCTGCCCATGAGAATACACCTACCTGTAAACTATAAGCTCTCCTTCTTCAGAACGTACAAAGACACAAATAGAAACTGTGCTATTCAGCAGACATTATCCAATTCTCTCATAAATTCAACTGAACCCCTTTCAGCTTACCATTTGTTTTCCCTCTTCATTCTTCAGCACTCTTTTTGCTTATTTGCTTTTTTAAAATTGGAAAAAAAAAAAGAGTAATGTAATTGTCCTTTTCTTCATAAATGTCTTAGAAATTTCACTTTTGTCTCTTAGTAAGGGAAGTTCCTAACGTACAGTTTTTCCCTGACTCCTATTACTTGTTTTTTTCCCCTAAGATAAGATTTTTGTTTTTTTGGTCTTAGAAAGCATGCTGAAACTTGCAGTGCTTTTTATAACCATTTTGAAACCTCAGTTGAAGTTGAGGTATTTATGGAATCAGGTGTGGTCTTTTCGTAGGTATAAAATCTCTATTTTATTTGATCACCTGAGATCCTTCCAGTTGAAAAGAATGTTCAAATTGTTGCTGACTTCAGTGATTATAAATAACTCATTGCTTATTATGTTTAAGGGCTTCTCTTTTTATTTATTTATTTATTTTTCCATTTATTTTTATTAGTTGGAGGCTAATTAATTACCTTACAATATTGTAGTGGAGCGCATTATACAGCGTGAGGTAAGCCAGAAAGATAAAGACCAATACAGTATGCTAACGCATATATATGGAATTTAGAAAGATGGTAACGATAACCCTATATGCAAAACAGAAAAAGGGCTTCTCTTATGGCTCAGCTGGTAAAGAATCTGCCTGCAGTGTTGGAGATCTGGGTCCCATCCGTGGGTTGGGAAGCTCCCCTGGAGAAGGGAAAGTCTACCCACTCCAGCATTCTTTTCTGGAGAATCCCACGGACAGAGAAGTCTGATGGGTTGCAGTCCATGGGGGTCACAAAGAGTTAGACATGACCAAGTGAGCACACAATGATAAATATTAGCCTATAGATCTATTTGGCTTTTTAAAAGATGTGAAGCTTATTTTTGCCTATTTCTCTCTAGACTGAATTGGGTAGGGCTTTGGCACGGAGGGGGAAGGGGGGAGGTGGGAGGGGGATCTAAATCGTTAGATGATGGCATTAGTGGAGATCACTAAGGAATTTCCAAAAAGATTTGAGGTAACAAATCCTGAAGCAGGAAAAACATATCATGAAACTCAACTGTAATTCTTCAGTTAGATGGGAGGCAGAAAAAGGTTTTGATTAAAAATTCTGGCATTTGGTTGCCTAGGTTTAAATCCTGGCCTCAGTTCTTTCCAGCTGTTTGACCTTGGGCAAGTTACTTAATCTCTCACTACCTCCTTCTTCTCATTTATAAAATATTAATAATCGTAGTATCTGTCTTATACTTGTGATGATTAAATGAGCAAAAACATACCAAGCACTTACAATGCCACTACTGTAGTTTTTTACTTCTAGTAGAATTATTGGCAGGAAAATGGGTTTTCTAGTATCAGAAAACTTAATGAAAGTAAAAGTTGCTCAGTCGTGTCCAACTCTTTGTGACCCCATGGAGTGTACAGGCCATTGAATTCTCCAGGCCAGAATACTGGGGTGGATAGCCGTTCCCTTCTCCAGGGGATCTTAGCCTAACTTATAATCATTTTACCATTAGGAAGATAAGAAGCAAGCTAATTTTTACTTGATACCATCTGTGTTCCAGAAACTCTGCTAAGTGTTTTAGCACATAGTACCTATGCTGAAAAGCAAACCCTAGAGTGAATAATTGCTGACTTGTTGAAAAGCAAGTTTGGATATCTTGCTGATTGAACATCATCAGATAAGGACTAAGACTAGTCATATGTGTATCCTTTGCCTTATGTATTAGAGCAATTACTATACTATAGAATCAGGAGTGTAGTATTAAATAATAAATTATTTTTTATACTTCACATTGTATCTAAAACTTCTTCGGGTATTCCATGTCATGCTGAAATATAGAAATAATTGCACAGTGTAAACTACACACACACACACACACACATGCATATATATATACATATAATTGCATTTGTACATGCTCAGTCAGTCAGTAATGTCCAAATCTCTTCATGACCCCATGGACTGTAGCCCACCAGACTCCTCTGTCCATGGGATTTCCCAAGCAAGAGTAGTTGGCAAACCACTGCAATATACTTGCCATGAGAACCTCATGAACTGTATAAAAGGCCTTTTAAAGAGATATGGCACCTAAAGATGAGTCCCCCAGATCTGAAGGTGTCCAATATGCTACTGGGGAAGAGTGGGGGAGAATTACCAGTAGCTCAGAGTGAATGAAACAGCTGGGCCAAAGCAGATATGATGCTCAGTTGTTGATGTGTCTGGTGATGCAAGTAAAATCTGATGCAGCAAAGAACAGTATTGTATAGGAAAACTGGATACGGTCAAGCAGGAGATGGTAAGAACGTTGACATCCTAAGAATCAGCAAACTAAAATGGACAAGAATGGGCAAATTTAATTCAGATGACCATTATATCTACTACTGTGGGCAACAATACCATAGAAGAAACAGAGTAACCCTTGTAATCAACAAAAGAGTCTGAAATACAGTACTTGGGTGCAACCTTAAAAAGGACAGAATGATTTTGGTTTGTTTCCAAGGCAAGCCATTCACCATCACAGTAATTCGAGTTTATGCCCCTACCACCGGTGGAAGAGATGGAAAGAATACATGGATGAACTGTATTAAAAAAGATCTTAATGAACCGGATTACTACGATGGTGTGGTTAGTCACCCAGAGTCAGACATTCTGGGGTGTGAAGTCAAGTGGGCCTTAAGAAGCATTGCTGTTAATAAAGCTAGTGGATGTGATGAAATTCCAGCAGAACTATTTAAATCCCTAAAGGAGGATGCCATTAAGGTTTTGCATTCATTATGTTAACAAATCTGGAAGACCCAGCAGTGGCCACAGGACTGGAAAAGGTCAATCTCATCCCGATTCCCAAGAAGGGTGGTACCAAAGAATGTGCTGACCAGCAGATAGTTGCTCTCATCTCCCATGCTAGTAAGGTCATGCTCAAAATCCTGCATGCTAGGCTTCGGCATTATGCAAACCAAGAACCTCCAGATGTCCAAGCTGGGTTTAGAAAAGGAAGAGGAACCAGAGATCAAATTGCCAACATTCACTGGATTATAGAGAAAGCTAGGGAATTCCAGAAAGACTTTTATCTCTATTATATCGACTATGCTAAAGCCTCTGTGTGGATCATGGAAAATATGGAAAGCTCTTAAAGAGATGGGAATACCAGACTGTCTTACCTGTCTCCTGAGAAACTGTATTCGGGTCAACAAGCAACAGTTAGAACCCCTCATGGAACAACTGATCGGTTCAAGATGGGGAAAGGAGTGCAACAGAGCTGTCTGCTGACACCCTGTTCGCTTAACCTATATGCTGAGCATATCATGAGAAATGTCAGGCTGGATGAGTTACAAGCTGGAATCAAGATAGGTGGGAGAAACATCAACAACCTCAGATATGCAAATGATACCACTCCAATGGCAGAGAGCAAAGAGGAAATAAAGAGCCTCTGATTGAAGCTGAAGGAGGAAAGTGAAAGAGCCAGCTTAAGACTAAATATTTTTTTAAAAAACCAATAAGATCCATTACTGCATGGCAAATAGAAGGGGAAAAGGTGGAAGTAGTGACAGATTTCCTCTTATTTAGCTCCAAAATCACTGCAGACAGTGACTGCAGCCATGAAATCAGAAGACGATTGCTTCTTGGCAGGAAAGCGATAACAAACCTAGAAAGGCTGTTGAAAAGCAGAGACATTATTCTACCAACAAAGGTACTATAGTCAAGGCCATAGTATTCCCAGTGGTCATGTACGGTTATGAAAGTTGGACCATAAAGAAAGCAGAACACCAAAGAATTGATGCCTTAGAACTGTGGTGCTGGAGAAGATTCCTGAAAGTCCCTTGGACAGCAAGGAGATCAAACCAGTCAATCTTAAAAATCAACCCTGAATATTCACTGGAAGGACTGCTGCTGAACTTGAAGCTCCAGCATTGTCATCATCTGATTCAAACAGACGACTCATTGGAAAAGTCCCTGATGCTGGGAAAGATCGAGGCAAAAGGAGAAGAGGGCGTCAGAGAATGAGATGGCTGGACGGCATCACCGATACAATGAACATGAACTTGGGCAAATTCCAGGAGACGGTGGGGGACAGGGAGGCCTGGTATGCTGCTGTCCATGGGGTCACAAAGAGTCCAACATGACTGGGTGACTGAATAACAACAACAAAATCAGGAATGTAATATTAAATAATAAATTATTTTTTATACTTTTACTTTATATTGTATCTAAAACTTCTTTGGGTATTCCATGTCATGTTGAAATATAGAAATAATTACACAGTGTAAACTATACATATGTATAAATATATATATGTATATATATTCTATGAGTGCATGCTCAGTCACTCAGTCCTGTCCAAAACTCTTTGCATCGTCATGGTCTGTAGCCCACCAGACTCCTCTGTCCATGGGATTTCCCAGGCAAGAATACTGGAGTTGAGTCACCATTTCCTTCTTCAGGGGATCTTCCCAATCCAGGGATCAAGCCCACTAGTATACAATAAAAGCCAAGTAATGTCTTCTAGATCAGGAGCGCTGTAGTTAAAATTACCGCTCATGTGTGTTCACAATAAGACAGGCTCTTGACTTGGGTTCTGTTCTCAACACCACTTCTGTATAGTGCAGATTGTGATCTCTATAACATGCCCTTTGAGCACCTAGAGCCCTAAATTGTTTGGGACACCTTCCCAATCCAGGGGTTTACAGAGGAGTGATGTCATGCTAGGACTGCAATCCCCCGACCCCTCCCATATTTGCCCACAGGGGCTTTCTTCTTACACAGCAGCATGATTAATGCACCACCTTCTATCTGTCTTCTTTTTGTCTCCTTAGTTGGCAGAAACGTGTTACTTGGGCAATAGGGCCCTGGCTGGGTTGTAGTAATTCAACAATTCTTTTGCTCTTCACTCACTAAAAATCAATCATTTTTAGAGCCAGTCTCCACATAGTTTTAAGCCATAAGAGGTTTAAGTAGTTTGAGTGCATGGGAGGAAACATTCAATGGCTAAGGAAAGAAAATCACATTCCTTAAGTTGAGAAGTGCTAAGTGCTATCTGTATTTGATGTTGAAAATTAAATTGGTTATAACATTATGCTTTTATTGTGTGTATTTTTGACCTATCAAATTGCATGCTTTTTTTGACTGCAGGAGTTTTACAGCAGGCTTTCTGCCTTTTTAGCTTCTCAAAATGCCCAGTACTTATAAGATCTAGGTGGGAATGTGAAGTGTCAGGGAAAACTGCTGCTGAGCAAATAGGCACACAGCACAGGTTAATGTAGCACAATCACAAGTCAAGCATTTTTTGATAACCATTCTAACTCTTTTTCCTCTAGGATATTTCCTGGTTTGATGATAAAGAAAACAGCACAGGAGCCTTGACAACAATGTTAGCCATAGATATAGCACAAATCCAAGGAGTATGTATATTGCTTTTATTTTTAAATGGTGTATGTTTGTGTTAAACATGAATGCGTGTACACATATGTGTCTTTGCATATATGTAAGCTATGCTGAGATGACCCACATCATTAAGGAGACCAGGTAAGTCTCAGGGCTAACAGAGAGCTCTCAATGAAAGATATAAGGAAGCCTTTCAGTTCTGGACATTTTTAATTAAAAATAAAGGGCATTTAGGACATATAATAGGATAACCAGAGGACTACAGAAAATACCAAGAATGAGCTAGACAAAAAAGCTCAAAATTAGGTAGTAATATAAGATAAAGTAACAAAATTAAAACACACAAATAACTTGGAAGTTTTAAAAGAAGAAAGTTTAATTTTTACTTTCCCCCAGAAAATAAAATCTCATTTAACATAATATGTAACAAGTTAAATTCATGCATATCTGGAAATGGTTCTGTGCTATTGTTAAACATATCAAGTTAAAGAGTTATGTGTAATCATGACTGGTCACAATAGGTGTAAATAAAATTCACACTTATGCACAAAATTCAAAATTAACAACAGAATGACCAGCATAATGTATGTCAAAGTGATGCTTAAATAAGTATGGGGAGTAGGATAGTATGGAAGAGATAAAGAGTAATTTATTAGTTTTCATCCAGTTATTTTAATAAAATTAATCTTTTATTACAAGTGGGATTTCAACTACGATTGAGAAAAGAAATGCAAAACAAAATTTTTCCACTTTGAATTTAAGTGAGATAAAGTTTTTGATCTCTTTGTTAAAATAAGAATTCTACCAGAGTTATAAACTTTCCTTTTTCCTTATGCATGTGGAGAAAAGGAAAGTCAATGATGCACCTCCGAATGACAGAAAAATCTTAACAGGTTTTGGTTGTTGTTATTGTTTAGAAATACTGAAATGTTGATTACAGCATTGTTATCAGAGCAACAAATTGTCAACTAAAACGACTCTTCAAAATTGTATTTTCTTTTGGAAGCTATTTCCACAAGACATGGCCACTATTCTAATTTTTGTAACTTTTGCAAAACCTCTTTGTTCAATATATACATGCAAGGAGGTAGATTTCTAATACTAGAAAATAGAGCAAGTTGGTGACAATTATAAACATTCACATGCTTCTGTATTGGTTTAGAAAACTAATTTTATGATGTAGAAAGACCTAGAGAGGAAAGGGGGAATCATCTTCATCGCTTCCTGAAACTCTTTTTTATCATTTTTAAAACAAGGCTCTAAATTTCATTGAATAGCATTTAAATTTTAAAGTAAGGCTGAGAAGTTGGGTTTTACTGATATAAATGGGGAAAAAATGATGGATAGAATTTCACTTAGTCATTAAATAATAAGGATAGTAATCCTCCATAGCACAATGGAATTAGATGAATGACAACATCTGTGTTTAGAAATTCAAGGGTTCACTAAATTTGGCAGAAATATCAGTCCCTATAATTCCATTTGGATCTCCATTCTACAAACCTTGTTTTTCTTTCTTTTTTTTTTTTGCTTTGCTGTGTGAATGTTTTTCTCTTACTCTCTTTTAAGAATTCAGTGAAATAGGTATTCTTACTACCAGCTATACTTGATAAGCAAGACATTTCTTTTAGTAAGTATTTACTTGAATGAAAAGAACAAATTAGTACTAAAGACCAACATTGCTTTCCTAAAATCCCTTAGTTGTGTCAAATGATAATGTTGTCTCTCATCAAGAGAAATTAATGAGAATATTTGTCAGTGTGGTTCCTTATAAGCATTTGACTAATACCATTTGATCATTTGAAAATTCCTGTTGCAGTTAGTAAATGTTGTTCTCATGATAACTTCTGGGCAAGTCAAATCATTTTCATTGAATAAGAAGTAGCTAAAGACTAGATGGCTGGAATACCGATGACCCATTTAAAGTTGCAGAACTTGAAAAGCAAAGCAACCAAAGAAGGATACCAAGAATGAGACTGTGTCTAATGGCATATAATTCACATAAACCCTTGCGTTGCCATATATAGGTAGAATCATATCTAACTTGAATGGATTCTCTTTCTATTAAAGGAGGAATTATTTACAAATCCCATTTGACCACTATTTCTTTACTCACAAAGACACACTACACTAGAGATGAATCAAAAACCAATAATTCAGGGTCATATGTCCTATCATATCAACTTAAGGAAGATATATTTCCATCTCAGTTTCTTCATCATGCAATTTCAGTCACATGTTACTTTTATCAAATGTGTTAGGGTGAATGTTCATGAACTAGCCTCTTAATAACAATAAATATTATTATGAAACCCTTACTAATGACCAAAAGTCTAAGCTCCTGGTCATTTTTAGATGTTCTGATACTCAGAGTCATGAGAAAGACATGTTAGTGAGCTAAGGTTATAGGACAAAATGATTCCTGAAACAGTTGATTGAATACAACCAATTTAACTGGTATTATTTCAGCCCCAAGGTAATGGCTTACTGCCAGTACAGCTGTCAACAGACTATTTTCTGTGTAAAATGTAGTTTTATTAAAGGTATAGAGCCGTTTTGAATTCTTTGGGAGACTGAATTTCACAGAATTACAAGGTACTATTTCTGTATATTTTAGCAACTCCTCTTCATCAACCAGAAGTCTTACCTCACTTTTGTCCATAAGAAAGTGTTATTGATGCCACAATGTACGCTTGATATACCAGTGACAGACACAATGTTAGTTCCAAGAATTCTCCTTATCAGAACTATAGTTACATTGCCCCCCCAGAAATAAAATTTTCATTTATTAATTCCAAGAGCCCAATGAATTGATTAGGTAGAGCTTGGCTATCATTGCCTAGGCAATGGTGACCTCACTTCTTGATTTAATTTTTTGACGTGGAAAGAGTATAAAACAGCTTAACATTACTTACAATTCAAACAATGTGAGTAGTCACTGAAATCACTTTACCACAGTATAATGTTGGTGTATAACTGCTGTTTGCCTTACAATTTTAGGTTGAATTCATTGAGACATTATCAAGTCTACAGCAAAACCTAATATCCAAAACCACAATGAACAAGGTGGTTCTTTTTATAAAGAAAAATTTCAATCTCAGCCCTGAACTCAATACTCCATAGTAAAACTTTACCACTGCTAAACCCACAAATTGTTGGGAAGACGAATCAAGAAATTCAACTTCCACTTTTGACCAAAAAAATAAGAGAAAGCTATAGGGACAAATCGACTTCATTCAGCATACTGGTCCAATAATGTGTAATAAATTCATTTAGTTTCCACAAAATATTAATGAATACAATGAATAACAACAGGCCTTAAACACCTTCATTTTCACAAACTTTATGAATTTGTCCAACTAAACCTTTTTTTTTCCTCTACAAATATTTTTGCCACAATCAGTTGTACATCTTAGCAGGTTACACTTCAGGTTGTACTCATCTAGGTTTTTGTCTCAAATTCTTTGAAAATATTCTCAACTGTAGTTGTTGCATACAGATTATCCACAGCAGCTAACTTTTCAGTCACTTCAAATTTTTCAGTCACTTCAGTCACTTCACTTTGACATTGACTCCTCAAAAAAAACAACAATTAAGCAGTATCAGTATTTAGTTCAACCCATCAAGAGCCAGGGAAACTACTCAAAATGACCTTCAAAATAATTTTCAATTGATCATTGAGATTTCTGCTGTTCTCAACTTTTTGAGCAATAATTCTCATCAAGATACTAATCATCTGATATAAGTTTATCCTCTCTGAACACATTTCTTCCACTGCTTCAATCAAACATGATTTAATTAATTCACTATCTGTGACTTTCTTGACTTAGCTAATAAATGAGCTGCTCAGAAACTTATTTAGATTCAGCCTCATTTTCACTTTTTAGTTTTATGAATAAATTGTTAAGATGTGTTATTCCATTTTAATTTTCTAATTTTTATAAATGTTACTTTCCTGTGAATTAGGAATTTTATGATGAGTGCTGTCTGCAAATGTTGACATGTTCTGTTTATTTTTAGAACTATACAGTATCATAGCATAATAAACACAACACTGTGGCATCTAATTAGAACACAAAGTGATCCATAGCCTATTCTGCCTTAAAAGCAGACCTCCCAAAGTCCACTTTTCTCTTCCTTTCTTGTCTTTAGATGATGGACATCAATGGTAAATTTAAAAACTTGAATAACATACCATAGTACTGCAACACATGTGGCACTCAACAAGCTGCCAGATCAGTGTCCTCACACTGAGCATCAGTGCACAGTGAGCCGCGGGGCACATGGGTTTCTCTAGCAACGCCTCAACTTCCATCAGTGCAGTGCCCAGATAGCGGCAGACAATAGGCGAACAAAGAGACATGGCTGGGTTTCAATAAAACTTTGTTTCTGGACACTGACATGTTTCATTTGTAGGAGTTTGATGTGGGTCTTTTTCATTTACCCTCCTTATCTCTTAACTTTTTGAGTGTATGCTATACAATTATAATAACTTTTAAGGCCACTGTCTGCTACATCTAACATTTCTGTCAGTTCTGAATCAGTTTCAATTTATTGATTTTTATGCTCATTAAGGGTCTTTTTTTGCTGCTTTTGGGCATACCTGATAATTTCTGACTAGATGCCACATGTTGTGAATATAAATTTTGAGGTGCTGAATATTTTTGTGTTTCTATAAATATTTTTGTCTTGTTCTGGGATGCAGTTAAATTACCTGGAAACAGTTTGATGTTTGGGAGGGGGTGGGTCTTGATTTTAAGATTTATTAAGCAAGACTGGAGTCAACTACTGAGGCAAGACATGCGCTACCCAATGCCAGGTGAATAATGAGGTTTTCCAGTCAGGCTGATATGACCAATCACTATTTCTAGCCTTCACACGTGCATCGTTCAATTGAATACTCAAGGGGGACCCTTTCTGGATATTTAGATTTCTTTCTGTATACCTTTAGTATTCTGTATTGCAAATGCTAGCTTCCTTGGACTCTCCAGACTCTCAGCTTTGTCTATTCCACTTA